CAATAAACAAAAGCTCACTAGCATCCTCAATAACTTTTTAAGGGTATAAAGGAATCTTTTTTATATAGATTCTACAGATTCTCTTGCATGAAAATATCTTGAAAATTTTTAAAAAATAAATTCATAGCCCACTACATCATAAAACAGACATATTTTAGGGTTTTAAGGTAGAACTTTCATAGTGATATGAATCTGAGAAAGAGATATAAGTTAAAAATAGGAAGAGAAAAAAGGTCTAAAAAGTATCATTTTTCTGTTGACATCATTATGAGCAAAATATACCAGAACATAATTAGGAATAATTTTTCCCTTAAGAAAAATAGACAGAATTTACTTGAAAATTGGGCTTGGATAGAACATATCCTACACTTACAAATAATTCCCTCCCTGAATTGACCTCATACATTGTTACTGTTCTATTTCACAAAATTCAGAAAGTAAGCAATATGAGAATGTGCCAAGCCACATGGAGATGAGAAGACCAGATTGTTTCTGTTGAATGAAATAGCTTCAATCTTCTTTTCTCCCAAATTATTGTTTAAAAAGTCAAAATTAAATTGAAGAAGTTAAATCTAGAGGAATTAATTTTAACAAACTTCATGAGCTAATCCAAGCTACTAAAGATGTAAAAGAATCTGGTAAATATTTATATTTGCTATCTTCTCAACTAGCTTAGTTAAGGCTATAGACATTTAACATAAATAAGCCTTTTAAAGATAAAAACATATACCATCTATTTTTTGTTATTACAAAAATGAGTGTTGCTTGTGTTCCAGTGAAAGTTATCTACAGGAGTGTTTAAAATGACAAATATTCAAGAGCACGAAGATATGGGAAACATGGCCTTCTAGGAAGCATCATGTAACCAGAAGCACCATTGACCTAAGACTCACAATTTCAGAACAATTTCTAAAAAGATGACTCAATTTCTCCATTCTCTGGCTGAAAACACCTTTTCATTTTTAAGATTATATATTTAATTGATAAAATAAACAAAATATTTTCTTTGAATAATTCAAATTCAAGAGAATATGTTATTTGCCCCAAAAGTTCAGACTGTTTCTTCAGGTCTCTTTAGAATGTATGCTTGTGCTATTCAGGTGGCATTTTTGGGGATGGGGTGGGAGGAAAATATTTGATGTATGACACTTGGTCAATTTTCCAATTGATAAAATTTATTAAGTTTTATATGATGCCTATAATGGCACTGTATATATACACACACACTTGCAATTGAAGGGTTTGAAGCTCTGTCTCACAGGACTTTGAAGAACTGTAGCGATGTTTTAAGAGGCAGTATTGTGATCCGGAAAGAGAATGGTCTTTGAATGAGGAGTGCTGGGTTCAAGCTAGTGATTAGGAAGCCAAATAACTTTATGAGATGATGGCTTGCCTCAAGTGATTTCTGTGTTTCCCCAGGACTTTTGAGCCTACACCGAGGCAAGAAAGATGGACTGACTTTTCTTCTTTTATAGGAATGAAAATAAAATATTTGACCTAAGAGCTAAAACAGAAAACTCTTAGCTATTTCTTAGAATGCTGAAGTAATTAGTAGACCCAATCCTGACTATCTTACCTAAAGCCATTTAATCTATAATACTATTGCATTTAAATAGCTCTCAGTGCCTTCTGGAATTCTGACCAGCCACAGGTTTATTAATGCTGAGGGTTGTGTAATCTGAGAGAGAATAAAAGACAAGGCAAGCTTCTGGGTGTGCAGATGCTCCCGTTCCTGATGTATTATCATTATCTGATTCTCTAAACTACACCATATACAGTAAAATAATTGTTGGGGGAAGAGTGGGAAATTGTGACTCTAAATGCCACGAACATTAAAACATAAAATACCAATAAATTATGATGGTGGAAATTAACAAATAAAATCTTCAAATGAATCTCTTTGCCTTTTTAGCTATTCAAAAACTCAATACACACATGCTCTGATTTAAGGCCAGTTGCATACAAAAACCCAAAACAAAACCCAGGCTTATTCAACAGAAAATTAAGAGAGGATTATTTGTATCCTAAAAGAACTACTGGTTTTGCAAAATCATTCTTTAAATAGCAAATTCTCCTAGGACATATAACTATTATGTAGGGTGAGATATGTTTGTGGTCCATTTTGCTATTGTCTGGTAAAAATTTTAAACCTCTGGATGAAGAGCAAAGGATTATACAGAATTAACTGTGTTAATGTGAATAATACTTTGAAAACACTAGAGGAGAAACTTCTCCATGCTTGCATTACTAACATCAACTCATAGGCACGTTTTTTCTAGAGATTTTCATTTATATGAAATAATTCCTGTAGGGCAATCGTTGACTGTATTCCATAGGAAGGACAAAATAGACTTTGTAGTGCTATGCCTATCAACAAAGAAGCATATCTCAGGTGAGATCATACGCTCTTGTGCAAGATGGGATAGAGGATTTAGAGGCAGGGCTTAGGTCAGAAAGGCAGAGACCTTGGACTGGGTAAGATCCCCATTTTGACACACAGGCTAAGTTATTTAATTTAATCTAACCTTTGATAGCTAGGAGATGGGGAGCTGGAAAAACCAAGAGGAAAATGGTCAGCTAGGGGTCTCTGAACCCTGCTCCTCTGAGTTAGGGGATGAAGACTAGCTTCTTCTGTGTCCTCTCCATTCGTGCTTACTTTAAATAAGTTGATCTTTGTCACGAATGTGGGCTCAGGATACCCTTGATATTATATCGTTTATAAACAGATGCAGCTGAGGTAGTTCAGGCTCTAGAGGGATTCCTGATACAGACTGGGTAGTTGATGTAACGATTGTTTTGTGATCCTGCGATGAATAAAGGAGCCCGACATTTTGAAAAGTTGTGTTGTGCCATCTCTTCAAAACATTAGACCCATGAAAGTTAAGTAATGTACAGATGCATTAGGGAAGATAAGCATTCTCTTCCTCTCCTTAATTTCAGCACATGTATGGGACTAATTAGAGATTGCTCTCTTTTAACGTAGGAAATTTTGTGCTATGCATACTCAGTACGGCTTTTTTTTTTAGTAGCAATAGACTCTTAAATTAAAACCTTTAAAAATTAAATAGGTATTTCCTAAGACTAGTCACAATTCAGACATTTTTATAAAACCCACTTTTGCATATTTGAGCCAAAAACTGTAACAAGATTTAAAATGTTAAATTATCTTTTCTTTTTTCCTACTTAACAGCTGATGTTAACGGAATGATGAGGAAAAAGTCAGTTCCCACTTGGTGCATGTGTGTGTCTTTTAAAGAAATTTATCAGCAAGTAAAATCAGGCTATGCTGTGTATTACCCATGTATGTCATGGAGAGCCGAGCCTATCACTAAAATACCTAGGCACTTGCTTTAAAGACTTAATTATAGCAATCCATGGTAAAGCAGAGAAGAGAAATCAGGCTTCTTGATGTCTGGTGATATTCTTATCCATGAGATCACATGGCATTCTTGCATTCCTCTTCCCTTATATGGCTGTGTCACACTAATAGAAGGCCACCGTCACAAAAGGAGCAGGCATCAGCCTTCCTCAGCCTCCGTGAGATTGGCTGCCCCTTATTTCCTCATTCCCAACTCCTTCTGGTGACTCGTTTCCTAGTGCTTTCCTCAGGGGACCTCATCTGCCCTCACCCTGGCCCTTCCATGCTCCCCTCCCCGCGGGCTGCTTCTCCTCTACTTCCTGCCCAATGTACTTGAACGTGAGCTCTACTCACGGGCTCCAGTTTGGTCTGAGACTGATCTGAGCGTCCTAGGCCTAAAAATAGCTCAGTGAAAACCTCACCAAATGGGATGTAGCTAAGTAATGGAATATACGCAGATGAGGAGTTTTTGGCTGAGGTTCAGGGCTGCGAGTTTGAAGGGGCAGGAAAAGCTCTGGGGAAACTCAGACGTTCTTCCCTCACACAGACTTGGGATGAGTACATATGGCTTTGTAACCTTGAATGATGAGTGTCTCCTACCTCTTATACTGAATAGGAAATACTAATGGGAGGCAAGGGGGTAGGGCAGGGAAGGGAAGCGATGAAAGAGCTCAGTGGGGAGACAGGGTCTACTAAAGGCAACAAGAACACACACACACATATAAATAAGCAGAAAACAGATCCAAGGATGACTCATATGCCAGGGATCTGGATGTGAATGATACAGGACACCACAGCAGAAGAATGGATTAACACATGAGAATATAGTGAAAAGAACAGATGTATGGGAACAAAGTGGGATCCAAAGTTCACTTCTGCCATTTTCTCACATTTTTTCTCCGTCTAATGAAGTACAACTGCCATGAAACAGTGTCCCCATGTCACAGGAAACAGGAAAAGATAAGGGAAGAACAAAGGAACAAGTAGGAAACAGAGCGACCTTTTCTCTTTACATGTGAAAACACTTTCAACTCGGCAGCACGACTAATATGCCCACGTGTAGATGATAATTTTGATTGGTGTTGTCCAACAGAAAGAGTGCTGGCTTTGGCATCCATGGACCTGGGCTCAAATTGAGCTCTGACACTTCTTGATTATGACCTTCGGAAGCTTCTTCATTCACCTCCAGAGGCCTCGGTCCCCTTACGTGTCCTCAAATGAGGGTGTGGTCTAGCAGCCATCGAGCTCCTTTCTGGTTCTGGAGCGATGGCCTGAGGATCTTGACAAACACTAACAAGCCTGTGTCTTGGCTCTAGTTCTTTTCTGGAGACCCAACTTTGTGGAAAGAATTTAAAATAGACTATTTAAGTCCATATTTAGTCCGTAAGCCCAGGTTTAGCTTTAGAAATGTTAAGTTGTTTAATATCAAAAAATGCATTTGATAGCCCATGAATTTAATATCTCATTCCAACACTAATACTAATCTGTTAATTTTTAATGGTTTAAAACAACTCTTACATCTATCAGTCCTTTACCTGTAGGTGAATTAAATTGTTATTTTTTACTTATTACATAACATTTAATATTGAGTTTTCACAATAGCTTGATAAAATGCAGTATCCAGTACAGAGGGAGTGCTTACCGAGTTTTATTCATGAGGTCTGCTCCGCATGCCTTGTAATAATCTAAATTTTGTTGGAATTGATGTGTCACTGGTCTTGGATTTCTCTAAAGCAAAAATAGTCCAGAAAATAGGATTTAGAAAATGTTTAAACGAGTTGTACATCAATAGTTAAAAAGGTATAAATGAGACCACATACTGATATCTTTGTTTAACCAAGATGAAATTAATAGAAATAAAAAATGTAATACTTGGGTTTTATTTGGATAGTTGTTAGTGATGCTAGCGATTGTCTTACTGATTAAAAATATGGAAAATCTATCAGTTTGTCTTTTGTTTATTTTTTTATTATTGTTTCATCAGTTTTTTGACAGATACTTATTTTTAGATATTAATTTTAAAATATAATTGGAAAAAGGCTAATTCTTTTAAGATCAGCAAAATCACATGATCCATGACAAATATGATGTATTTGCCAACTGGCTCCGAAAAATAAGTAAAATGTAGATGAAGATTACTTTAGAGGAACAGTTCCCGATGAGCAATATGCACAATATGTCCACTAGATGGCGCACAAAGTCTTTTGTTCTTCCTGAAGCTTAGGCGGTATCTCAGAATTTAGTCCATGCTTTACAATTATTCATTTCTGTGGCACAGAGTTTCATTTGCAAATATTTGATGAGTGCCAAAAATGTGCTAGGCACTGGAAATCATTAGCACATTAACCATCGCCTCACACAAGCCAATTTACCAATGCATGTTTTCATTGAAACAGCAATAGAATTGCTTTTCTGGAACTTATCATTATTTGTAAACACCAAAGTAAGCCCCTCTGAGTATTAGGTAAAGTGATGCTCCCCCCGCTCCCCAACCTGTTATTCATAGTCAATCAAAGATTGTGGCAGATGGTAGGGACACAAAGCTAGGCCACAAGCCTTGGTCTCAAGACACTTACAATCTAATAGGGAAGAAAAGAGGTGTACAATTACATAGGGCACATGGGGGAATGTAAACAATGCAAGGGGGAAGTTTAGACAGTGATGGGAGAATGATGAGGAGGCCAGGATCACTTTTGGCTGGAAGCGGGGAGAAGGAAGTACTGTAAGGATGGAAGGGGCTTTCACGGGATGAGTCCAATATGGCTGAAGAAGTTAAGACCAGCTCTGTTCAGCAGGGAATGAGGAGCCACTGAAGCGGTCTGTTTAAGGAGTTCATCAAAGCAGTGAATTAGGACAATTACTGAGCCAGTGCTTGAAGCAGTTTGTTTAACTTGGGATGGTGACTAAGGCTTTTCCCCAGGGCCCTGGAAGCTAGAGTAATGATGGCATTTGGACTACTTGAGTGGAAAGCAAAAGCTGAGCTCCACACCTAGTTAGCAAGATTAACTAGCCCTGGTGGTCCTACTCTCGGTATGACTTAGGTAGTCTTTGCCCCTGTTCTCTCCCTTGGCAGCAACTTTCCCCAGTGGTGGTTTGGTGGGATCCTGGGGTCTTTGTCTCCTTGCCATGGGCTGGTATCCAGGTCTTTCTCCCCCATAAGACCTGTTATCCTAAAGCTCCACTTGCCTTGTGGTTCCCCTGCTCCTTTTTCCTCTTCCTAGCCACTTGGGGCAGTTTATGGTGCTCGCCCTTGGTGTGAGAATTGCTAGTTTTGAAAGGGTATGAAGAATGGATCAGAGAGGGTTCAGATAGACAGCTGGAGGCAGGAAGATTAATTTGGAAGCTATTACAATAGTCGACATATTGGGGATTCTATAAAAATACCACTTTTCCCATATATAAGCTTTTCACAAGCAAATGAAATTTAAACAAAAGAATACCTCTTAAACAAATACATTTCCAATCAAACAACTAAATAAAAACCTAAGCAAAGAATGGTTCTTTAAAACCATAATTATAAATTTTCCATAAAAATACTTAAAAGAAAATAAAAACTGGGAAGGGCTTTGTTTTTTAAACCTCTTATATGAATCTCAACTGTATTTGCATACACAAGCAGGCTCATCTGAAATCAGCACATTAACTTCTTGCCTTTTTTTTTAAGCTCCAATACCACTGCTTTGAGAGCAGGGGTCTTAACTTTTTTTGTATCATAAACCCTTTCAGCAGTCTCGTGAAGCCCACGGATCCATTCTCAAAATTCATACAATAGTGCATTTAAATGCAGAAAATAAAACATACAGGATTAAAAGGAAATGAATTCTACTGAAATACGGTTATCAAAATGTTAAAAAAAAAAGTTCATGGACCTCCATCTAAGACCTGCTTTTTAGAGATCTACCTATAAATAAAATGGTACATTCTACCTTAATGCAAAGAATTCATGTAGGTTAACATCTTCAGAGAGGAATATAACACTAGAGTATTAAATGTTAAGGTTAAATAATTGTAATTCATCAAGCTAACAAGCTGTGATTTAATGACCAAAATGGCCCTGTTCTTTTTCTGTTAAAAAAAAATGCACCTTTCATATGTACACCAAACCTCCTCCAATCAATTAACAGAAATGACAATCTCTTGATTTCACTATCTACTATTTCACGGGTTTGGTATTCAACTGAGTTTTAAGATAATCAAATCTGAATTGCCTTGATGAAGATAACTGATGATTCTATGACTAACATACGATTAAGTCTAACAGTGCAACTTTTCCATCTCTAGGAATTACATAGGTTTTCTTGCGGTGGTTGATAATAACCTGAACCTGCGTATAATGGAAATGTAAAAGAAAGGTTAAAACCATTGGCAGGTCTTTAATGCTACATTTGTGATTTATCTTAAAAAAAAAACCAAAAAACAACCCTCCACTAGGCTATCACTTAGGGTTAAAATTCTGTTCTTTACTTTCAATACCTAAAAATACATCATTTTTGCAAAAACAATAAAAAGCTCCTTTTCTGACTTCCAATACGTGAAGAGAGGGTTATATTACTTTTATTTTTTTTTTTGCTTAAAAAAATGAAAGAGATCACGTAAAGCAGTTTGAAACTTATTTATCAAGAAATGACAAGCAATTCAAGGGTACCAAGGGTTGATCTAAGTACTTACAGTGATTATCAAAAATAATGATCTAACTTGAACACATGAATGAGATTCAAGTATTGCTCTCATTTAGGGCCTATTTAAATTCCTCAGAGGCTTACTGGTATCAAAGGGAGAGTCGTTTAAAGTAGAAAAGAATGAAAATAAGACATTGAAAAATGGAATTTAAAATGTAAGACAATGGCTGAAGATTATTGCATGGCATCGAGATGCCTGTTAAGACAATACCACTATTTAAATATAAATACATACAGGCAAGTAAATAATCCATGAACACACATAGAAACTACCATGTGATGTAACCAATCTGCCTCCTAAATATACTCAACATTGATTGAGGCTTAATGTAAAAACAAAACAAAACACAAAACCAAAACCAAAACCCCAAAACAAACAAAAAACCAAACCATTGACAGATTTAGGAATTAAGATTCAATCTTCTTTGCTTTGAAAGCTTATGTGGAATTCTTCATACACACCCCTTTTTTATGTACAGTGTATAAAGTTTCAAATGGTTTCAGCATTCTTGACTTACATATTTTTCCAAATTAAAAACCTTTCTATTCTGCACAATTTAATGATTTACCACTGACAAATCTGGGATTCCTATTACATAGGATGTCCCAAAAGTCAATCCAGTTTTAAGATTAAGACTGGTAGGATAATCTATATTTAACAGGCATTGGAATTACTAGGGTCCTAATCTGAGTGGGTACATCTCATTCCTCACTACTTCAATTTACTAATGCTCATACTACAGAACTCCTATTAACTTGTATTCCAAGTTGTCTTTATCTGGATAGAAGAATTAAGAACTACTTTTAACCTCATTTCACACCAAGAGGGTATAATTAATTAGAAAAATATTTAATTTTAAAAATGTATGAAATTCATTAGGTTTCTGCTCTACTTTGAAGAATCCTTTTTAGTTAATTCTCCTTGTGGTGAGCGGCAAATATCAGTGAAAAGATAATTCTGTATACACATCCATACTAATGATACATTCTAGTTTGGACAGGCTGTAAAACTAGAAGAGGGCATCCTCAATATGGTATAAAATCCATGCCCATTCCTGAAGTCTCTAGGTACAAACACAAACATTAGAAAAGCCTTCCCAAACTTAGTAGGGTAAATCAAACTCTTTAGATTTTCTATCAACAAGACAAAATGAATAAGTATTGAGTTTTTTTTCCCACAGATCTTCCAGGACAGGTTTAGTAGAGGCCTCTTGCATGTTCTAAGCTAGCTACTTCCAAAGCACCAAAAAGTTATTCTTTTGGATGTCTTATTTATCTCAAGCATTTTACTTTTATGTTACTATAAGAATGCTAGAAATCCCAAGGAGGCTTTCTTTGGAAGGTAAGCAGTGAAGCTGACGAGGAAGACTTTTTTTGGTTGATGGCTAGAGAAGAAAACATCCCATTGGGGCTAGGAGACTCAAAAAACTAAAATCAACTTTATTTCTCACTTGATTTCTAAAATGCTTTGACTAATTTAGTAACAGTGAATACGTGATGGAAATTATCTGTGGCATCAACTACGTGGCTATCATTAAAACACGAAGGTGGGCACAAGGAGCCAACTTTTCAGCAGTATTCACTTTTACTCACTAAAAAGGACCAGCCTTTAGAAGAAGAGTTACTCTTTTTGCTTGACTTCAGTGGGAAGTTTCTCTGCCAAAACAAGTTTGATCTTCAATGGAGAGTATACCCACCACCTCTGCTGCTCCCCTCATCCAAAAAAAAAAAGCTTTGGCTTCTCTTACAGAGCAAAAAAGTTTCAGTTCAAATTTTTTTGCGTGTGTTTCAAAGGAACTTGTAATAATAACGTCCAGGAAAACAGAACATATTTTCAGTAAAAGGGAAAAAACAAAACAAGACTGTAACAATCCCTGATATGACCCTTGAAAACTAATTGTTACTGTTATATTTCAATGGAACAACAGATGCGTGACAAGGTCTATTTGATATATCCAACTAATTTTTCTGCATTAGCCAGGCACATACTTTTGTGGACAGGTAGAGACACCTTTAACTATGAAATCAAAATAGTAGTTTCATCAGAAT